CTCTCTCTCTCTCTCTCTCTCTCTCTCTCTCTATATATATATATATATATATATATATATATATATATATATATATATGTATATATTTTCCTCTTTCTTCCTCTTCTATATATTTGCCTCGTACTCCTCTCTCATCGTTCCTCTCTTAACGGGTTGCACGTCACGAGAACGCGCAGGCGCACTGCACGCGCGAACTTTACGTGCTGTGTCGTGCGGTGGCTGCCGGTGCACGTACACGTACACCTACACCTACACCTACACGTACGTACGTACGTACGTACGTACGTATACACGCGGTGTTGAGTCCTCCGCGCAAGCATGTGTATGAGAGCGGTAACGCTTCGAGCGTGTACGTACAAGTAGAGAGAAGGCGGGAATTCGATCGTGCACCACAATGCACAGTGTGTGCCGCAGGTGACTCGTTTCCATCGTCCGCTCGATCGGACGGTTGGCTGGCTGGCTGGCTGGCTAGGCTGGTTAGCAGGCCGGCTTCCTTCCTCGCAGCCGAGCACCTGAGAGAGTGACGCGCCACGCCAGACCACGCTTGTTATTGATTTTTCCGGAACGCGAGACCCACGGAGGGCTCGCTACGCGCTCTGTGTCACATCATATGCTGCCGGATTACGCTTCGTCAGTCGACACACGCATTATCAGACGCGCCACGTACGTAGGTAATCGGGCGACCGCGTCAACTTTCCGACTACCAGGGTACCGACTACGAATAACGCGTACACACGTACACGTGTACGTGTTGCATTTGTACGTTACACGTTACAGCTTTCTAATACGTATAATCCCAGATCATACTTGGTTCGATCATTAATCGAATTCGAGTTAATTAGCTGCAGACACCTGTCTCGCGAATTCTCGATTAACTTTCATAAAGATCGCGTTTACCATTTAATTCTTCTTCGATCGAACGTGCATCCACTTCGAGCGCTATCAATATTCGATGGTCTCGATGACGCGCGAAATTTAAATAAGATGTGACATTAATATTTCTCTCCTAACCTTTCATCGTACGTCGATGTAATCTCTTTGAAAGCGTGTGCCCTCTATATTCCATCGTATTTTAACTCGTCTTACAACGTTCCCTTCGCATGACTTCTTTACCTCGCGGAGACAAAATGGAGTCGCCGTCCACAATAAGACCGGATCAAAGGCGATCTATTATTCACGATACGGAATTTCTCTTACCGCTACCGTCGCTACGACGAACAAAGAAAACTTCTCCGTAAACTTTTTACCTTCGTTTCTCTCTCTCTCTCTCTCTCTCTCTCTCTCTCTCTCTCGTGTTCGAGCGCTTTACACACGATCGATCGCAAATCGAAGAAGAGCTAAAGCGTTTGAAACTCACGTTCGCGAATCGGATCGCGAATTGCTAATGCAGAACCGCGGAGTTGTTGCACAACTTCGTGAAATATCGCGATACTTTATTTTCGTCGAAGCGCAACGTTCGCGGGATTATTCTTGGCGGTTTCCTTTGTAATTCCGACGCGTTGTCTCTGGGGTATGACCGGCCGATAGATAATTTGCCCGGCGTATGTTTTCCGATTCCCTCTCGATTCGCTCACGTTTCGCCCGCGATCGTTCGATCGCGCGGATCGAGATTTCAGCCCGGAGAAAATCGCGGATTTTCTCGCACGACCGGCTTCTCGTTGATGACGGTTTGTCATCTGGATCAGGAAGAGTGATCCGTCGAACGGGAACGGCCACTTCCAGAGCAGGAAACTTGGCCATCGTTTTGCTCGGTTTCCTTTTACGATTACTTTCTTGCCCGTGTTCTTCCGCATTGCTCGCAAGCAGGAACATCAATGCTCGATTAGGGGATTATCGACGAAGATCTACCGTTGCTCGTCGAATCGTTCTTCGCGTTTTGAAACGTGCAACCATGTTGCTTATCCGTGAAAAATCAGGCAATCGGCGGATGTAAAAGTTGGATATAAAAATTGTTGAACGAACAACTGGGAAAACGAAAATTTTGTGAATTAACGCAGATAAAGCAGGTTCAACGACGCAACTACATAAATTGACTAAAGAAAAATTGCAAATGTTAGTGTTCGAGACTGTTACTGTGGCGTCATGTGATTTTCAGTGGTTAGCGACCATCGAAAAATGTATTGTAATAAGTTTAAATATATATACGACCGGCTAGTAATTTTTCTTTATATGATACATATAATATATAGTTTTTTTATATATATAATATACATAATATATAATTTTTTATATAAATAATATATATAAAAATATATAATTATATGATATAATATATATGGTATCTAATTTTTTATATATATATTATTTAATATTTTATATATTTTTATATATTTAATATTTTTTATATATAAATACATATTTAATATATACATATATATATATAATATAAAACATATATTGTAGACAAACATATGTTTGTTTATATTTACTTATTTGTACATTTGATATTTTTAGCTTTCTGCATGGTACCAATTATTTCTTTATACGTAGCAGAAATGAAATTACTAGCCAGTCGTAGTTGTAGCGCTAACAGGTTAGCATCTAATAATTAGCTTATATCAACGTGAAGACGCAGTAAGAAGGGAATGGTGATTAATGGAATTTTAGTTAATGTTTAGGATGAACGACAGCATTGTTTAAGGAAGATCCTTTTTTTTGTTTTAGCATACATAGTACATTTCCGTTTGAAGTGTCGCAAGATAAATTACGCTTCCCTGCACTGTTCCCCGAATGAAAGCTAATTAATGCAAAAATTAGTAGAATTGTTCGTCTGTTTATCAAAGAATAACGTCCAAGATTAATGGGATTGCACAAGCACGAAAATTACCGCTTGCCTTTGCCTCCGTCCGTGCAGAAACACCGAGATGCTAAATCGCACAAGGCATCGCCAGAGTCAAAGCCATTTCGCTGTTACATTTTAAGCTGCGGCAAACTGTGTAATTTCGAAACGCGAATAACCTCGTCAGGATCTTGTGATGATGATCGTTTACGTGGCTCTTCGTCGACGAACCTGGCTAAAAAAGAAATCTCTTTCTTTCGCGCTTATCTGTTTATTAATTATGCGACGCGCGCAAATGAAGTTCGAGTTGCCTCGACGATGCCATTTACAACACCGCGAGAAACAAGCCGCGTAATAAAAGTCCCAACGCTCGGAACGCGAGAGATTCGTGATTAAAATTTAGCCGGTGATCTTGAGATAAAAAGCATTGTACAGATAGAGAGAGAGAGAGAGAGAGAGAGAGAGAGAGAGAAAGAGGTGGGAAAGGAGGGAATGAAAGAGTCGCGCGATTTTTCCCTCTGTTCGCCGCTGAATGAACCACAGCGTTGTTGGTTCCTCTTCGTGTTTGTCTTTCCTGCGTTGCTCGCTGCCCTGTTCAAGAAAAGTACCGCGAAAAGGCTGGAAGAGGGGGGGGGGGGGCAAAATTTAATTCTCGCTACGCCACGGATAAAAACGTATTTGTTGCGTGACGAGGCCGCACAGTGGATGTAACGAGGAAACGCTTTTACATTTCCCACGACTGTTTCGCTGGCGGAATCCGACGAAATATCCTCTCGCTTCGACCCCCTTTCTCTCGCTTTTCGGCTCGTCGCCCGGTCAAATTCCGCGATTGTTTCTGCATTTCGAGTTCGTTTCGTCCAAATGCAAACGAATGGAAATCTAGAGAGAGAGAGAGAGAGTTTTTGCGATCTGAGAGTCTGAGAAACAAATGGTTAATTCAGATTTTTATTTGAAAAGTGATGATGCCAGACTGACATTAATATCTGTCCGATTTTTGAATTGCAATCGATAAAATCAATTGTTATACAAACTCTGAACCAAAGTGTTAATAATAGTATGTTGATTTTAATAATACATAAAAATAAATGAGCATACGATCGTTAATATATATAAAAATAACGATGGATACTGTGTGTCAACTGACTATGATTTCGTACAGCTGATAATGCACATATGTGCCGTGATGTCTGTTTAAGAAAAATATCCTTGTCTTACTTCAGTACAATTTTAATTATTATTAATTTTACTCTAACATGAAGTATCGTCGACAATTTCCAAAATCCACCGAACTCGCAATTGAGCTGTTCTATATTCCTAGAAGAATATCTTTTTGTAATTGTAAAATTGCACGCATGTATTACGTAGTTTTGTACATCATTTTAAATATAGAAACTTAAATATATTCTTGTATATAGATTAGATTTAGATCGTCTTGTCACTATGTGCGCGAAAGAACACGAGATGTTCTTCAATCGTTTCCCCAATTGTTCTTCGACAATTGTATCCCGATCGATTATTTAGTTTTTAGTTCAGTTACCTTTCGTCATACACAAATGCACCGGGTGCATTCTAATTTCGCGTGCTTTGGAATTTACTGTTAGCTTGTTTATGCGCTGGTTTCGCGTATGTTATTGCAGCGAATTTACGA